AAAACCCCAAATAGTGTTACTTGATATTGTATATTGATGACTTTTGGGTCATCACGAGTTTATAATACATCTCTCTCTCTATACATATATATATATATATATATATTCTTTTTTCAGATGAAGTTTGTTTAATTTGATTTATTTTGAACAAGAGATTCACCCGTGGTTTCTCTATCTTCAATATCGTCCCCGTCTATCGAAATCAGTGGTGGATTTATATGTGGGCGAGCCTAAGCAATTGCCGAGGCTCAAATTTTTGTGCTAATTATACATAGTTAATATGTGTTAATAAAATTTTTAAATTTAATATGTGTAAAAATATAAATACAAGTTTTTATTTTTAAATTTTAAATGTTCTTGCAAAATAACATTATTGATTTTATTTAAAATGATACACCTCACCAGTCATATTCGACGATATTATATTATTAAATTTTTAGTACTTATACCATATAATAAACTTGATAGATAAATTTATTGTTTTCTAATTACAATTGATAAATATTTAATTTTTATTGACAGAGATCAGATACATATAATTATTTTAATTTGTATATACAATATAAATGTCAAATTATACATTTTCAAAATATGACTAATTTAAATTATCATATATTAAAAATGATAATATATAAAATTGTTATTTAATTTAAAATATATTTACAATTTAAGTTACCCAAGCTTTTAAACTTGAAAGTTCTGGATAAAGATCCATATTTATATGAACTATTTCGAATCTTTAGGAATAACATATAGAATTACAAATTGCTGGAAATTCACAATGAAAAACTCTACATTTATATATGAGAAGATAATGGAAATCTTTGTAAAATAACAAGACCAAAAATGATGACATCCAGGCTATTAATAAATTATATTTCAAAATTTGACTTGTTTATTTTTTATTACAAAATAATGAAGAAAAATGATTGTAAATTATTTTTTGTTATATTTCTTCTTAATAATAATAAAACAGGTACAATTCTCAGTTTTATTTTTTGCATCAAGTCAAAGACAAATTGAATAGGGAACCCCTCAACACCCGAGTGTTTCAACGATTTATTTAATTGTTTTTTTTCTTTTTTTTTTCTTTTTTTTTTTCCAACGATTTATTTAATTGTTAATATAAATACTTTGTGCAATATGGTTAACAGAAAATTTCGAACTATATTTTGCCCGGGCTCATAAAGTTTTCTGGATCCGCCGCATTCGAAATAGACGGGGAATCGTCTCGAGTGTCAACCTGTTGCCCAGAGAAGGGACATAATCGCACAACCAAGCCTACGCATACACAAGATTTTAAAATTTCACAATTTAATATTATTATATTAAGACATTAAAATAAATATATACATAACATCAGTCCCTCAGTGCACCCGTCAAAGTATGATAGGTCTTTCAATTCCGTATGACAAACAAGCTCTGTAATTAAGAACTTATGAGTAGCATCTCCCCATGCGTATTCAGAAATTCGACTTACATCCTCCAAGTAAGGTAAAGAAACTAGAAAATAAAATAATTAGAAAAAGGAAACAAAATACAATTAAAGATTAGAAGACTGAACATTCGGATGAAGTTGTCTACACGAGCTTCATCCATAGCAAATTTTCCTAGCAAATCTATAACATGCTTTCTTTTCAAAAGCCTTTTGTCTACCCGACCCCAACCATCAAACAATGCTTTCAACTCCATACTAAGATCTAAAGCTACATTTAGACCACTCAGTCTCAACCATCAGTGATACAAAACTCAGCTAGATCAAAATTAAGAAACAAATCGTCTCCAACAGCAAAAGCATTCATGTGCTTATCAATGCCTCGACTCTCATATGTGTGATTGATATTTAGGGAAAAAAAACGAGCTCTTTTGAAGAGCCTGCTTGTGTGGGTCAGAGAGAACAACATAAATCCTGTCCATGACATCTTTAAAATAAAAAGGCGCACATCTCGATCTAAGTTCAATGCCCTATCACAAAAGTATAAAACAGAGAAAAAAATTTAAACATAAGAATAGATACAAATGAGAACAAGATACAAGAACACAACAAATTAAACAAAACATAATTTTTCCAACAAAAATTACTTCAGCTAAACCATAAAGCATGATCAATGATGTGCCACTGAGTTCCAAAATGAACTCCTCAGTCCATCTCAACAACCACACCCACTGAGTTCCATTTTTTAAAAAAAAAAAAAAACAGATGTTTCTAAAAATGATGAAATTTACCCCTATCTAAAATGATGATATTCATAAAAAGCCTAATTCAAAAATATACCAAAATGATGAAACTAGACATGCATAGGCCCTAATTTATCAATAAATTTTATAATTGGTGAAATATAAATCAAATTCGAAGTTCATTAGCATCAACCAAATCCCAAATTTTAAAAAATTTTGAATTAAAAAAAAAAAATCAAAATTTTGAAAAAAAAAAAGCCCTAAAATTGGAATTCTTAAAAGCTTACCTTGTTTAATGTCTTGGACGTAGAGGAGGACGGTTTGCGGATGGTAATCTTTTTTGGAGTCCGCCATTGTATCTCGATGAGCGACGATGGAGGGACATGCTTCCCGGAGATGATAGCCGGCGATGGAGGGGCATGCTTCACGCTTCACGGAAACGGAGGTCGAGGGTCGAGCTTGAAGGAGCCTTAATTTTGGAGACAATGGGGGCGACGGAAATGGAATATTAAAGTGGCGGGAGATGGAATATTTA